TCGCAGGCGGCGGCGGCGGAGGCGGAGCCGCGCGGAGCCGGATTCCGGGACACGGTCGCCAGGCGGCGGCAGCACCGCGGAGGAGGCCGCAGAGCGCCCCGAGCCGCCGGAGGCTGACCCCGCCGCCGGCTTCAAGTGGGGCTTCCTCACCCACAAACTGGCCGAGATGAGGGTGAAGGCTGCGCCCAAGGGCGACTAGCCCGCCGGCCCAGCAGGGCGCCCGCTCCTCCCCGACCCGATAAAAGCCCCTGGCCCGACGCCTCGTGTGACCGCGTGCGTTTGTCTGGACACCAGGGAAGGCTGTTTTGGGGTGGCAACCTCAGGCGAGGTCCAGCTAGAAGGGCTCTTCCCGCCTTCCCCCGCAAACATTCGGGGGCAGTGACCAGACCTGGCCGCGGATCAGGCCGGATCGTGGTCATGGCATGTACAACTTTCCAGAAAGCCGGGGAGCCCCTGCCCAGACCCCTCTAATCCACATACTGCCCTGTCCCTGTGATGGGGGACCGCCTGAGACTAGGACAACGACCAGGGGATGCCACACGCAGTGACAAATTGAGGCACGGAAATAGGGGAGTACTGGCGCTCGGAGGTGAGGCAGGGGGAGCAAGCAGACCTCTGAGGGCGATGTGCGGCCCTGGGAAGATGGACCGAGGCAAAGGGAGGCGCTGACGAGGCTTAGAGGTGACCTCGGGGTGCCAAAGGGAGGCAGTGGCAGGAGGCGAAATGCGGTTCCAATGGTACCTTCATTTAGCGATCTGTTTTGGATCCTCACCTGGCAGCGCTTCATACCCGGTGGCCACCAGGGGGCAGCAGAGCTGCGGGAGCTGGGGACCTGGGGGGTTCTTGGGGAACACCCCACCAGGACTCCTCACACGTGCTGTCCCTAGCCCCCAGCTCGCCTTGGGCTTGGCCTGGAAGTGACTGTAGTGGTACCGACTGGGCAGTAGCCCAAGTGACTGGAGTTTATTGAGCACTTTCTTGTGCTGGCCGCTTTGCCTTGCCACTTGGTTAAGGTATCGCAGTGGTTAAGTCGCTGGACTCCCACGTATTCCACCCTGGTTCGAGTCCTGGACCCCAAGGCTTAAAACTCATGTGTGACGTGTGTGCGTTCATACCCAAATCCTGAGAGAATGGAGGAGAAGGGATTGCGGTGTGGCCACCTCCCCTGGGGGGTGATTTCTCGCTTTCTGTCTCTGTCTCTCCAGTGAGCCAAGAGACCTATGGCAAAAAATTCTCTGCAATAATAATAATAATAATAATAAAATAACAACCACATTTATTATCTCCTCCCCTAACCTAGGGGTGCAAAAGTGGGTCCAGAGAGGGTAGTTCTTGGCCAGGGTCAGTCAGCCTGGAACTCTCACTCCAAAACCCACGCGCTTAACCCGCTCCCACCCTTAAACCAAACTGTCGACCTTTATTTAAATACGTTTTAACTTTATTCAGCAGGTCTGCTCATCCCCCACCCCAGTCATCACGCCCCAGGCCAGGCCTCCACGGGGACCACGGGGCTGCGCTCTTAGAAGGTCCTTTGGGATCATTTTGTCCCATCTCCCCGAGGGGGACACCGAGATCCAGAGGGAAAGCCGTGCCCAAATGCGCACTGCGCGTCCGAGGCAAATGGTCCCTGCCGGTGCCCCCGGGGGGCCGCGGTCA